CACATCCTCGGGGGGGTGGGGGGTGGGGGTTATTATGAGGTTAACATTAGCATGCTGCCTGAATGCAAGCAATTGCACGTCTCAAACTCGTCAGCTCTCCGACCCTTCGCGCTACCCACACCTCTCAGCAAGCTGCCTTGTAGAAGGGGATGGTCGAACAAACGTGGTGGGCCACATGTGTGGAGCCGATCCTCAGCTGCTGGTGTCAGTCTCTGAAACGACACCCGGCCGAAGTTCGCGGCCTGTGGTGGATGTAGTCCAGCACTGGACCTTAGATATGATGCAACATGCACGCTTGCAGGATGGAAATGCAGGATGGAAAGGAAAGCGCAAACACATCTAGCCTGTTCTGGGTTCAGTGTCAGGCTCAGGGCTGTTAGGGTTCCGACCGTAGGGCCGATCGACCGTGTGGAAGGCACCTTTGACCCAGGTCCAGTTGTCCTGAGAGCTCAGATTGAGGCCGGCAGCAGAATGTCAAAAAAACGGTCCTCGTCAAAGTGCGGGATGTCCACGTCGGTGTGCTGCAGCCAGGTGTACAGCACCAGCCAGCAATTCGTCACCTTGAACACGCAGAAACTGTGCTGCGGCTGATATAGTGGGGGTTAGAACGTGCAGTGGGGGGGGGGCATCGAGTCAGGAATATTGGAATCCATGGATCAGACTACCCGTAGGCGGGGGTTAGGCCTTGAATCTCATGCGACAGAAGCAATCAAAGGAATATTTTGCGAGCGAGGGCATCCAGAAAAGGCAGCCAACAAGTAGGTGCGGCGTGATCACTTCTACGCGATGTGCAGTTGAAAAGCAATGCAAAGACTTTGCTGCTAGTGAGTGCATTCAGTGATAGAGGCTCTACGAGTACAGCCTTCTTAAGCCCATGACCATCAGCGGTGCCAAATAAAGCGCAAAGACCGGCATAAATCCGCTGGTCTTTGCCTCAGGTGCAGCTAATCTTCACAGAAGGCGTGCTGAGAAGCCTTGAGGTCGAAGCCCACCACATCAAGAAACCGGCCATTCCGACAATGCCAACATCGGACAGGAGCACCTCCGGATTCCCTCAGGGAAGGGTGCAGCCCAACATGCGCACCGTGGCCTTGGACTTCCAGCTTTTTGGGAACAGGTCCTTCTTCCCGTTTCGGAATGGCGGAAAAGGCCTTTCTTCCGGATGGGGCAGGAAAATGGCAGAAATCACGTCTCTCAAATAACTTGAGACAAGCTGCCACATGTGGTTGGTGGTGCCATAAGCCGGTCCGCCAGTAGCACCACCGAGAATGTACCTTGCTTTGCAACACGGCACTGAAAGAATTCAGCACGTTGCCAGGGGCCCTGCGCCGGCCAACCAAGGACCAGGTGGGTGACCATCCGGGTCATGGCAACTGTGCTCTGACCTGCGTTTACCGGGCAAGCCTTTCAAGCACTGCTGAACGGACTCCTATTGAGCGCTGGGCCAAACCACTTGGCCAAGTTTTTGTACTTGTTGGTGGAACCTTTTTGCAACCTTGGCTCTCACGACCCATGACAACTTAGCCTCATGCTGTATGATGAGTGTCCTTCCGCGCAAAAAGCATGGTTCAAGAGCGACATGTCAAATGCAAATCAAGCTGCCTTGGCACATGCGTCTCACCTTCTGTCATGTGATTCGTCTTCGAGTGGTGGACAGCATGAGATCGCTGCCAAGAGAAGTAGGGTACCTGCATGTGTCTTTCTACCCTTGCTGCGCGCGCAACACCACGTCTCAGCTCGTCTACCACAGGCACACCATCAAGGCCGTGTGCAGAACCTTGGAAGCAAGCAGGTGGGAGTTGGCCTTTAATCCCTCAAAATAAACACGTGAGGCTCGCGCATATCCCACAAGAGTCTGCAGCCACTGCTCATTGCAAAACGCGTTGTGGCCACACTCATGGCCTCCGCTGGGAAATGAACAAAAAGGCTACGGGCACACGGCAAGCATGGCTTCTGCTGCTCTGGCTCTGAGGTCTTGACCAATGACCCATGGTCCTGTGGCCAAGGTGCCCTGCACCACGGCATAGAGCACCCACAACGGCGCTGCAGCTGCCGTCCTGGCGCACTTTGACTCTCTCACACTTTTCTTTGAGCCCTTTCGCGTCCTCCCTGCACTCATCTTCACTCTGCACGTGCTGCACTCTGAGGATCAGACATCGGAATGTACTTCCAGGCCAGGTAGCCGCAGAAAAGCACCTGGAGCATCTTCCGTGCAGCCTGCCCTCGAGCGCTGAACTGTGAGGCCTGCAGGGTCGAAACGGCGGCATGCGCCAAAGATCGTCCGGTCCTTACTGTTGTGACAAGCAATGCGCCCGTGCGCATGTGGTGCTGCTTCGTAAAAGCATACTGTCACGTGAAATCACATGGTGGCATTTGGCCGGCAACGTGCTAAGTTCCCGGCTCCTTGACCAAGCAGTCCTTTGGAATAGCCCTGATGACTTCCCCTTTGGTTGGCCATTGCCTGGCAAAGGGTCAAGCCCCTGCATCTGCATAGGCTCCCACGGTTCGACATGTTTGGCAAACAGCGGTGGTAAGGCGCAGGCTTATTCTGCCTCAGCGCGGTCCCTTGCAGGCCTCCCCTCTCCAAGGCCTTCCTTGGACATGCAGGACTGCCAGTGAGAGAACGTCTGACATGAGGCGTTTACGACCAAGGAATGCTTTCGGATGATGTCAGAAATCCTCGGAGCCAGGCTCCACTCTCTCTTTCAGCTCACCGTTGCCATCCACCTTCCAGCCTTTTGGAGTCAAAGTTGCGACGGGAAATGGAAGATGCCAAAGTTTCGGAGACTCAGGACGGCACCCAATCCTGCCGGGCTCAGCTCCAAGGTGCTCACCTGCTTGCTTCGGTGTCTCTGCCCAGGATCGGTTTTCAGAGCAGGTGCCTGTGAACCTTGGCGCCTTCGAATGCGTTTCAAGCCCCTTGCCTCGGGACTGTTGACCCTTGCATAGCAATACCCGCGCAAGGCTTTTTCCAGATGATTGAGAATGCCAGTAAGGTGCAACAGCGAGCGCAGCCGCAGCCAGGCCTGCAACGGCTGGTCCTGGCAAGAGCATGCTGGGCGAGTCCAAGCTGCACAGCCTTGAAGAAAAATCAGGCCTTTGCTCCCAGATGAAGGCTCTGGCTGACTCGAAGACGCTTGGCCTCGACAAGAAAAATCTAAATAAAAACACCCATCTCTGGCCGAGATCACTTCCTGCCTGGCAGTGAGTGGCTGGGAACCCTCAAACGCTGCAAGCGTGCGGCAGGTCTCAAGCCCTGACCTGCACACGACAAGGCATAGTCGGAAGCTGCTGAGCAGTCCTTGGACCTTTTCAGCTTCCGGGGTCTCTCCCTGTGTGTCTCCCCTGCCTCTCACTGCCCCTCGTCGCCAAAATTAGCAATCTACAGCCCCTGAGTAAGGCTGCCACCCCTTGAAGCCACGGCTTGGTGCTGACCAGATGGCCTCTGTGGGCATAAATTGTTTTTGACTGTTGGTTGGCATCCCAAGCCGCTATGCGGCCATCCTTGTCGTGTTACACACTGAAATGTGCTGAGCTTGAAACGCCTGCGCAGTCTGGCCTGCGACGAAGGCGAAATCCATCCTGCTGGAGCATAGCCCACAGGCTGCTTAGGCTGCTTACCAGAATTTGACGGGAGCCAGCCATGGCCTCTCGTTCGAAACAGCCGTGGCAGCACAGATGACAACCACACACTTTGCAGAATGATCTTGAGCTGTAAAAGAGGCGACGGCAAAGTGGAACCAAGCGCCATGCCACAGGCCAGCAAATGCCTGCAAGATGTGAAGTCCAAGAGCTCCATGTCTATGCATGGTGCGACGATGTGCAGCGCATCTGTGCAGCTGCAATAGATTTCCTGACGGCCGATGCGCTCGACCATTCGTACTCCCGAAGTCTTCAAAAGCAAGCAAAATCCCTACTGCATACACTGTAGGCCACCATGGGAGTGCCAACATTTCCTTACACAAGTTGCTTTGAGCTCTGGCTGCATCTGGCTACAACACAACCTTCTTCGGGGTGAGACAGCGGGTATTCTTGGAAAAAAGACCAAGGAAAGTCGCAAAAGTCTGCCCAATTTGAACAGGACACATGCGAACAGGGGTGCGATCAGCCTAGCCTGTTGCCTCTCCCGCATCTGGATGAAGCTTTGCGGTAAGAATCTCCTTTCAGGGTTCACACTGTGCCATGGCTACGGCTTGAGGCGCCAGGAGGTGCATTAACTTTTGCAGGCTCGGTTGGCCCGCTGAAAGCAGGGCGCAGCCAGGCCCTCAAATGAGCAAAGCGACAGAGGCTGCTCCGGATCTCCTTCCATCAAACTGCTAATGCATCTGTGAGAATCAAAGATTAGCAGCGCTTGCTGGCTTGCAACGTGTCAAGCACAGCGATCGGTGATCGCAATGCATGGATTGCTTGACAGCGAGTGACTGGGAGACCTTTGCATTTGCAAGGCCACTGCTACTACCAAGCGCACCATGCTACGAACAGTAATTGCACCCACATCCGCACCACATCGTCCTCTTGGAACTTCTTGCGTGATGCTTACAAGCTTGCATGTCATGCATCTCATCTGTTTGTTCATCTTTTGCTCCGGTGGCCTAGTGGGTCTACTGGGCCTCTTGTGCACTGCCTGCAGAGCTCTAGCTCGGGGCACTTCAAAGTTGTCAGTCATTCTAGCGGGTAGCACAATGGTAGCTGCATCAAACACGATCACCTCGCTCACAGCGCATGGCACAGGGTAGCCCGCGGTCCCCCTGTGCCCGCCCCCTGCCATCACGGGTCATACCCATTCATTTTCGAGGACGCGTCATTGAATGATGAAATCATGATATGAAATCCAAGGTACCTCCTTTTTGATTTCTCTTTTGTTTTGCGCTCGAAATTCAGGATGGGACGCTTAGTTTCTCTTCTTGGATGTCCGGAAAAAGACTAAGACCTTCTATGGCAGGGGCAACGCCGCCCTGGCCCTTGACTCCAGAAACTGAAAATGTCATTTTGGAAAGCTGTGGCAGTTCCATGTCTTATCCTCGATTGCCATGGTACCCCATGGCAATCTTATGCAACCTTTTAAGCAGCTCCCTTCGCAGTAAAAAAATCGGAGTTGAAGACGAGCAACGGCTATGCAGTTCTGTCACAGTGCCACTACCAAAGTAGAACGGCGGCCACCCCATATTCCCAATGCAGAGGCATAGTGCGGCGACATCATGCGACATCCATGTTTGCCTAGTATACTACGGCAATCCATCTGCCCAAGGTGGCTAAATGGCTCTGCTGACCCCCATTTGGCTATTTGAAGGGGTCTAAGGTTGTTGTGTATGAAACGTTGCCCGGCATGTGCAGCATGATGCCAAATGGCAAGTGGGCTTCTGAAAGGTCCTGTCCGTCATCCTCGGCAGTTCTATCCATGTGCCCAAGACAGGATCGAAGCGCTCGGCCGTCTCCAGGCACTGCAGGGAGCTTGAACTCATGCGAAGCTTAATTTCACAAACAGCTCAAGCTGACAGCCCTCAACAAGGCGTACCTGTCCACCGTCGCTACCACCGAAAACGTGTATTCTGCCGGCGATTCCAGCAGCAGCCACATAGGCACGACCTCGCATGTCGACTCCAGCTCCTATACTGTCTCTACATGGCAGCATGACGGATCATGAAGCCATGTTTTCTCCCGCTTTGGTAAGGCTGAAGTCGTTTGAAGGGGCAACCAGAGAAACGCTGAGCTTTGCGCGCTTGAGCATTGGCGCCAGGGTTTCCCATGTGCCAACCTGCAGAAGATCATAGCTTGCAAGATCTTGCAAGGTGAGCCGCTGCGCTTTGCCCCTTTGCCTTTGGATCGTACCGCTCCACAGAGTTCAACATCTGGGCCTCGGACGCAATGCAGCTGTCCAAAGCTCCCTGTAAGCGACGCGCACAGACATGCTTTCTGTTGCAAGCTCTCGACACCAAATGCTCCTCCACACACGTACAGCCTTACCAGAGCCATCATGCGCAAGTCTTCAACATGTGAGAACACGTGAAAATCTGGGGCACAGCTTGCCACCACAGGCTGCAGCTGACGCGCCTCTTGGGGAGGGCACGCCGGCAGGAACAAGAATTTGCACACGTCAACATCCTCGCCTGCGCGCTGGCTTGATAGTGGTGGAAGCCTTGACAGCTTTACACACTCACAGCAGCTCACAACTGCATGTGGCATGCTGAAAGAAGCTTGTTCAAGCCGCGTACGGAAGCCAAATGCTTGGTGGATGATTCAGTCTCTCCACACCTCAGCACATAATCCATGCGAAGCTGCCTGGAAGAACGGCCTCTCCCTTCAGGCTGCAGCTACTCAGCGGCTCCCGCTGCTCATCGCGGCCGCCACACACATAGAGCAGTCCTTCCGGGGGTGGATCTCAAGGTGCCCGCTACAGTGACAGTATTGGAAGTGTCTCAAGTGCTTTCACGGTCCTTGCAGAGACACGGCCGCAGGCCACCCGCGCCTCTCTGCCATTGCATTGACTCCCTGAGGGCAATCATCCAAGTATCGAGCTGTAAGATGCAGAGAGCAGAACCGAAGAACGTGCCTGCCAGCTGCCTGTTGATCCTGCTGACGCCTGTGCCGCAGCCTGGGATGAAGCTGGGAATCACTGGCATAACCAACCTCTGTAGCCGAGGTCCAAGCTTGTAGACGCGGAGTGACGTGCAGGAGTTGTGCGGGAACCCCTCACATCGCAGTCCGCGACTCAGACAAATCTCAAGCTGCTTACATCCAAATGAGCTTCTAGACCTGGTGGGGTGAAGCACTCAACCGAGTTCAACGGCTGCCTCAGAGAGAATGAGGCCGTCCTAGACCGGTGTTCACTTTGACTGGGGTGCCCGGCCTGTTCTCATCCAAGCCACCACAGATGAAGAGCCTCTTGTTGATGACACCTCCCGGTGCACATCTCAGATGCGCCAGCACCATGATTTTACAAGGACCTTTTTCCAAGTACTCATTGGAACAGGCGTCTCTGGCATTGGCACGCCATGATGACTGTAAGATGGGAGGACTTCTCTGTGCGGTTTGCTGGTGGTAGTTGCGCAGGCCGACATTTGTAGGCCCATGGAAAGCCCTCCAATGCACTAGTCGGGGCTTGTTGAGCCTGATTGAGGTTGTTGTGCAGATTGCCGTCCTTCGCCTGCCTCTTCACGTCGGTGCCAGTGCCACTAGCTTCTCGGCTCGATGAAAGGGTCTGAGAGAAGTGTTGGAGAGGAGGCCAGATGGTAGAGACCCTGCAAGAGGTCGTCAATCTCTCTTCTTCGACTTCGCTCCTGAACATGCTGGAGTGCCCGTGATCGCTCGAGCTTCTTCACAATCTCATTTACCTGGTGAAATGCATTTCCAAGGGCTTGTTTACTAGCGCTGATCCGATTGCCAAGCAAGAAGCACAACCCAAATGATTGGTGGATGGATGCTTAAGTTTCTAAGGCCGGGATGTTTGTTCGGCGGGAGGTTTGGCTGGCTGACCTTCGCCACAAGCACCTTGTCTTGCAACATCCTTTGTGCCAAAGTCTGCTGGAGTTGGTCTTCGGCTCTAGCTCTTTTGTCTCTGCAATCGTGCGCATAAGTGACCATCTGGCAAGCCTCTGCGTGCTTGGCTTCCACTGCAGATCTTCGGCCAATGTTCTGCACAGACGCATCATGCAGGTAAGCCTGCAGACGAGCAAGGTCCTTTCGGTGTGATGCTTCTTGGATCGAGGAAGCATGCTTCAGCTCAGCCTCCTGCTTTGAACGCTCAATCCGGCCTTACGCGCAGAAAGGAAGTCGCTAATTTAGTCTGTGGAGCTGCTACACTCGCCTGCTCGCTTCTTTTTAGAAAAAAAAGTTTGAGAGTCTTGAAGAATCTTGCTGAACAACAGCCATCGTACTGGCTTGCACTTGCATTGATGTACTCCTCATCTTGCGCAGGGAGTCTCGAATAGATGCCAGCTCTCGCTGCAAAGATGCTTGTTCGGCAACAGCTTTGGCCACTGCCATGGCAGCTGCTTGTGACCTAAGCTGTTGATCTGCGGCTATCTGCTGCGCCGCGTGGAACGACTGCAAAAGAAGGCTCCGCTCCGCATGGAGCTGTGCCTCTCAGGGTAAGATGTCACATCCCAAAGCACGTAGAGTGTGCTAGTGTGATGTACGCACCACCTACTGCACAGAGTTCTATGTGGGTTACAAGCATCGAATTCTCTTTAGGAGTCCATGGTAGATCAATAAACTCTGTGTCTACCCGTTCAAGTTCCTCAAAGCCTTTTCTAGTATGTCAGTTGGTCTTCAGACCTGACGCTTTGGGATGCAGGATCCACTGTATCGGCAGTCTAGGTCTGCTGTAGAGTTAGATTGGAAGTCGCAGTGCCAATTGATCCAATTGTTCATCTGGTATCCTGTGCGTCGAGGAGGGCGTAGGTCCGCGATTGCGAGCGCTCAATATGCTCTTGGTGGGACATGGGGCGCGACACACCTATTGCGGGAAAAGTCTGGCATTCCCTGTGCTCATGTTGAAACATGCTGGCTGCTGGAAAAGTTTCCAATCTCCAAAATGCTGAGCAAAGGCGGAAGCGGAAAAGGAAAACACATCTGCAAAGATCTGCCCACAAACTCCAGCTAGGTCGGAAGTGGCCTGCACCAGCTCCCCACCTGGCGCAATTCCGCTCAATGAGCTCAGCTGAAGGTCGGGCCACTGAAACAAGCGAGAACTGTACCTAGACTGTGGTTTGCATGCCTTTTGAGAGTTCACAGTTCCCATGTTCTTGGCGCACCTGGCCACCAACATCGGCGGCATGGGCGACCACCTGCCCAGTCTCTTATCACATCTCATCTCTTGCATTCACAGGGGTCTCCGCCAGCCTTTGTGGCCAGATAACTTGAGTGCTGCTTCTGGGGGTTCTCCCTCGATGGATTCTGTTTGTTACTGTATCTTCCATGCGAGAGGAGCTCAAGTTGCGCATGTTGGCCCGCCGCGGGACTGGAACACGATCGTGTCAACCCTCAACAAAAACTGATGCTGCCACTCCCATACACACTCGCAGAAGATGACTTGGTGACATGCACCTGCCAGGGCATGTGGGTACCTTGCTGCAGTCATGAGATGGCTTTTCATGGCGCCTCTAACGAGCCAATAACAATGGCAGGCCAGTCGCGATGAACTTTGCAAATACCGGAAAGTTCAAGGGCGCAATGACCACCAGCTGCTTGCTATCCTAGAATTCGCAAATCCGAGCGAACTTTACAGAAATCAAGCAGAATTTTGCTGCGCTCTGCAACCCCCTACGCGGGTCTCCCTCAACATTTTCACCTGAGGAACCCCCATCAATCTGCCAACACGAGTTGTCAGTTTACCGACGAACCAGAACACGAGTTTTGGGAGTTAAGACGAATTGCAATCAAGGAAGTCGCAAAAAATTCGGATAGTAGTGACACCCCAGCCAAATCATCCAGATAAGCATCTGACCCCGGCTGCCTGGCAACTGATTCCTTTGCAATGCCTTCATGTTTTTTCCGCTACAGATGCTACACAGACTGGCGGCCTGTTGAAAACACTCCCCACGTGATTACTGGAACAAATGTCATTTCAACCGTGTGGAACAGAAAAAAAAGGAAAATAAACTGGAAGGATTGAACGCGAAACCGGTGCCTGGCGTAGTCTGGATCAAAGCATTCGACGCTTCGGACAGGCTGAGGTCCGGCCCAGCCTCCGAGGAGCAACGGCTGTAATCTCCCTTTCCGTGCTTGTGCACTTGAGGCTGAGTGGAGGGCCACCACAAACGTAGATCTTGCCAGACATCACTCCTGTGTCCACGGATGCCGGATGCAGCAGTGGCATGCCGCATGTCATGGGCACAGCAGAAGCAAGTGGTAGCACGCTCCTGCACAGGTGTACTGCCGGGCCTCTGTCATCGGTGGGAGCACCTTTACCAACATGACTGGAACTAGGCTGAAGATGCGACCCAGGAACTCAACGTCAACTGGCGGGCAGGGACGCAGGCTACAGTATGCGTTGCAGGAATCCTAGCTCTTTATCTATGCTGCCTTGCTCTGCCATCCTGCCATCCTGCCATCCCGCAACCCGTGCCATCCATCCTCACGACCATCCCGGCATTTCCCGGCCGTCGTCTCGCCCCGCGCTCTGCCTCTCGCCGGGTGGACGCTAAGCGGCCACTCTTTGCCATACGGCACCTCACCTAGCTGCCAATACAAGAGACAAACCTGAGTGCCCCAGAGCAGGCGTTCAAGCTCAAGAGCTCCAATGCAGGGTGAGGCATTGCACCTCCCACACACCGGCCTAAGCGCACTTGATCAATCCGAACTCGCTAACAGATCTTGCTAAGGAGCAATCCTTTTTGCAGTACTGGCCTACAGAAGAAGCAGTAGCAACACAAGTCCCCAGCATGTGGGTCCAGTCTCTCAACAGAACTCAAGGCCAGAGCTCCTGCAACTTTGCAAGGCCGCCGTTTCCACTGCCTCTGCAATCCGGCCTTCAAAGCCACCACAAAGATAGAGGTGACCTGGCGTTGGGGACACCAAAAAACGTGACGGTTGCTCTCTCTTTTCTGTTGCTTTGCCCTTTAATAGTAGGAATGTTTCCGCTTCGAGCTTGTGACCGCCTCGAGCTGAGCTTCCAGGGCTTCGACGCCACCAAAACATTATAGAACCTGAACCCTCCATGCCTGCAAGGCGAAACACGCCTGGAGCTACCTCACCCCCAAGGACATTGAGGCAAACAAGATTCCAATGCAGCATGCAATAGCTTAGCAGACATCACCCTGTTTCAGGCGTGATTGGTTCACCATTTTGCTACATAGTAATTGGCTCACCCATTGCCCCCTGAAAACCCAGCTTGATCGGTGGCTTATGCGAGCTTGAACCAAGCGTGCAGCATGTATCGACTTTCAAAACTTCAATATACTTCAACTCTGTTCCACTGTACAACGATGAGCCATGACCATGCTTTCTGTTGCCAATTTGCGAAGGAAAGCTGAAGATTTAACTTGGGTGTTCAATCTTCCCGTTGATAGACGTCTTCAAAGGGGGTGCTTCGCCCGCGTGAGTTTCCAGCATCAAGGCTTGACTTCACCCTTGCGCAAGCTTAGGCGGCCCCAGAGCAAAGCGTGCGCCTTTTCGGACCCACATAACTGTTTCCTAGATCATACTTCCAAAAGAACGGCCCTCAATGGAATAGGATGGAGAACAGCATGCCTGGGCACAAGGGGTCCAGAATATCCGCAGCAGCTGATCGCGCTGCTTGACACACCTGCCATGCACAACCTAAACGTTTCTTTGCTGTCTTTGCTTTCATGTTTGGAGGACACGTCGCTGTCACCTCGCGCAGGGCACGCATTGCAGAGTAGCCAGCAAAGTTGCCGATGGCGTAGGCAACCGCCTATCGAGACATGTTTCAGTCAGACGCACAGAGCCTGCATGACTACTGGAATTCCAAAATAATTTCAGAAGAAAGTGCCCTGCCCGGATGTCGATCACTGCATCCAGCGGTGCCTTACAGGGGATGCCAAACCCACACGTACCCACCCAGAACACAATAGCTTCAATCCAAACCTGTAAGAAAGGAACGCAAGGGCCGAGGCCATAGACCTCACCTGAGTTGGACAGGACATGGGCTAAGATAAATTCAAGATCACTTTAGCAAACGGTGCAGGCAGCAGAGACTCCCACAGGCTTGGTTAAAGCGCCGCCGGTGCAAATGCACCAGAAACCGAACGCTGTCCACCACCTTGGAAAAGGCTCGTTGCAGATGCATGCACTGCATGGTGAGTGATGCAGCGGACACCACTTGTATCTAGAACGTTGTCAGTGCAATCCGCAGAGACCGCAAAGGCTCGGTTCCAGACACCGTTGCTGGAAAGGCAGTCGCGGAGGGCTCCGACCTGCAGGACCGTCTCAGGCGTCTCATGAAAGAGATTTTAACCCTTTCATAGAGGCTTTCTGGCTCAGTTCTGAGATGGGGTCCTCTTCTCTGCAGCTGTCAACCTCTCTCCGCAAGTGGGCAATCAGACCCTGTCAGGCAGGGTGTTGTCCGAGTAGATGCTGGTTCTCGCTTCTGAGGGCCTGCTGCTGCGACATCTCTTGGCTCAAGAGGTGGAGCAGACTTTGGTCCTGGCTCTGTGCGGTGTCACATGACTTGAGGCACAAAACAACTTTAGCTTCGGGAACGATCCTCTCCCATTTCCATGGCTGCTCTGGCTTTGCTGTTTAACTGATGAATCTCTTTGACTTGGGCTGACGTGGGCTTAACGAATGGAGGGTATGCGTATGCTTGCGTTCCGGCCAAACTGAGATCAACTCCTAAGCCCAAGATATCTGGAAAGTGGCCTTGCATAGGTGCTTTGAGGTCCAGCCGGATCCTTAACTTCTCCTGTCTACCACCCCTTGGCATCAAGGCCATGACCTATGCCCAGCCATGCAGGGACAGCAGGTACGGGAAAGCTTGCTACCACTCAGCAAAACTAGGACCGTCATGCTCGAGCTGCGGGCAATTGTCGCTCTATGCCCCCCCCCAGTTATCCTTGCTATGCAAGAAGGCCAAGGCCAAAGTGACCCCAAGAAAGGGGTGAGCCAGCTGCATGCTCAACACATCATGATGCGGTCGCCGTGGGAAAGTGGCAAAGACATGTAGGTAGGGGACACCACAGGATTGCTTTTGTATGCTTGCTTGGAAAAGCTGAGCTTAAGCTAAGCTTGGCCTTGAAGCTAACACTGAGCTCCAAGCTTGGGACGGCAGACATCTGCGTTCTCGAGTCCAATATCACAAGTTCTCTGATGACTGCCCACTGATTGCTGTCCTCTTGGGCTGTTACTGATGTTTCGCAGCTGTCTACATGTTCCCTGTCCGTTGGGCTGGATTCAGCCCAGCGAGTGCATTTACAGGCCTCTGCTGTTGGCTTAGCCAAAACCAGCTCAGGCTACAGCTTGAAAACATAGCTGCCCCGACGCAGCTCGCTCCTTCGGTGCTCCGCAGCGCTGCAGAGCATGAGCTGGCTTCCATCTTTGTGAAGCCAAAAAACATGCTTCAATGCACCCCGCTCTCCATCAGAGACCTGTAACTCAGTTTTTACGTCAGACTCCGCCCGGCCCGGCAAACTTGAGCGTCTCGCCTGATTGGCAGGGCTGGCCAAGTGCGGCCAGGATTTGGCTCCTGCAAGAGCGAGCGCCGTTTCCGAACGTACAGCTGATCACAGGCCCAAGGGGAGCCTTCACTGCTGGTCACTTTGGCCCTGCATACCTGGCGGCACAGGTGCCAACATTTGCACGCAAGCCGGGGAATCTGATCCGGAACCATGCTGGATAGGGCAAAAAGGAAATCCTGCACCATCCCGGGTGGGAGAGCTGCACCACGCAGAGTAGGACAGTAATACAAATCCTGCATCATGCTGCTTTGATGGCACCTTGTCCCTCTGCAGCCTCTCGCCGCCTTACCTCGGATAGAAAGAGTCATCATCCGGCCTTGATTGTCCACAGGGCTAAGAATTTCATCGACTCAGGAGCATGCGAATTCCTTGATGGAGGCTATTTGCAGCTCCCACCGCCTGTCGGTGCCAAGGGTAAATGTTAGGGTTTAAAACCAACCCCCTGAGTTGCACAGCCCCCGTATTGAGTGACCTTTCTGTCTGCGGTTCAAGACGCAGCTTCCGTCAAGGTCAAGGTGGATGCTGGCGCTGTCTATCTGACAGCTTAAGCAGCTAAGCATAGAGGGCATCAAAAACTGATACTGCTATAATATTGTTTTAGCCCATCTCGGCTAAACGGGGATAGGGACTGCTGGGTTCCCCAGACATGTTCCACTGCGTCACACCAATGCGCACGGATTCTTTTATCCTGCCTTGGTATGAAACAACTTTGGCTTGAACAGCAAGCTTTTGCGGTCCCAAAGACCTTAGTGTTTTTCTCCTTTGCTGGCATTGCAGAGGCAGAGCAGCAACAGCGCACAATGGCCGGAAGCCTACACTCTGAAGCCAAGATTGGCACCTTCATGTCATTACGGTTGCGTCGCATTTCCCAAACGATTTCCATTTAATTTGACGTTGGAATCACTCGCGTACTTTCGCTTCCTGGATTTGTCTGGCTCGCTTCAATCGAGAATCCGAAAGGTCCTCTGCCTCCCTGCAGCCGGCCTACTTTGCGTTGGCATTGAAATTTGTCATTCGTCCTCAAACCAGGCATGAACATACATGGCCACGGTTGCAACAGCCTGCCAAGGCAGAAGGCGTCTGTTCGTAATGTTCACCAACTGGGCAGTTTGTCGAGCTGGGCTCTGGTACCGCGAGTGGCACAATCATGCTCGACTTATCCAATACAAACCCCTGCGGCTGGGCGAGCTTTAAGGCACCAAAACTACACAGTCCGGCGCAGATGTCACGTTCCACATTCCTTGTATCAGCTGCATCGTTTCTTGGAGTTCGAAAGCAGTGACGTTGGGTGCGTGCGGTTGTGGTCCCGTCCGACGGGGCTCCATGCTCATGAGATCTCATGAGCACCAACAAGTTCCACGATGCAATTTCACAAGGCCAAGCAGCAGGGTCTGCTGACCTCAAAGCCCGGTTCAAACCGAAATCTCACTCTTGCAGAGCCTCGACATTGGCTTGAGCCATAGCATTCTCAGCTTCAGCTGAGCACCGCAAAGAAGAGCAAGTTGAGCTTCATGTTGCACGACAAAATCTGGAGCCCAGAGTGTCCTGCTTAAGCCTTCACGAAAACAATTCAAGCACCATGGCCTGTTCCGACGCACCAGCTTGTCGTAGCGTGCTTTTGCCTCATCTGGGATGAATGCGGCAGAAATCATCAGAAAATCAGATCACTGATCTATTTGGGCCTCCGTCTCCGCCTCAGTTTCTGCCGTCACATCCTTCACCTCCGCCTCCTCCGTCTCCTCCATCTCCACGTGCTCATCGGCTGTGCGGTCAACAGGGGTCGTAGGCCCTGCATCAGCCTGCAGATGGCTCGTCTGATTTCAACCTTGTGAGCAGCACCTGGACTCAGCCTCATCTTGCACGATGTCCGCCTCACATCACATCCACGAGATGCCACAAGCTGCCATAAGCTTTACGCTGAATGAGCAGATGGGTGGCCTTCCGAAGGTTCTCCCAGATTGATCTGAAGTTCTCTTGGCACCTGTTGTCAGGGAGCCTTGATGCCAGCACCCGGCCCCGTGGTCTAATTCTCTAGAGACTCGAAAGTCTACCACCTGCCATGGAGCACCTTGCCTCACACAGCTGGCGGAAAGATTGTCCACCTGACAGGACCAGGCAACAATCAAATCAGAAAGTCGACAGTGACAGGTGGACTTTAAGACTTTAAGTGTGTCATCCGGGTCCCAGCACGTGAAGGGGCACTTGCTGTCTCATGCTCTCCCTGGGCCAGCCGGCAGTAAAAGAAATGATCACCGAGGCATTGTATCCCCGCGCAACCGCAACGCATGAAGGGGCGAGCTCGGGAAGCACGAGGAATCTGGAACTGAACAACGTTGCCAAACAGACTTGTGACACTGATGCACCACAACTATCCTCAGTGCTTGTGCCACAGTCTGTAAGTGTGTATTTGGGAAAGGCACAGGGAGAGGGGCCAAGGGAAAATGACTTCAAATGCTATCGCAGCATTTCTTTGAGGTAGATACCACTTACACTGACGTACGTGAAACGTGCCGGTGGCTTTCTGGCGCATCGAAGCGCCGGCCTCAACCACAAGGCGGCGCATCAAGCTCTTTGAGACAGCAACGTCCAAGCCCTGCAGCGGCCGCCTTTGAAGACGCTCTCCAAGATGCAGGCAAACACATCACCAAAGCATCGAGCAGATTGGGTGCACAAGGTCCAGGCTTCATGCGCAGGATTGCCTCAATGAAGTGGAACGCCTCTTCAAGCTCAGATGATTGAAAACTGCAGCTCATTACAAGCATGTGTGGGCAGCAGGTGAGATAGCACAGCTCTCAAGCTATGGTAGGTCACAGAGCAGAAAGGACTCGCAAGCAACGGATAGCGCTGCGCAGTAGTTCTGCTATTTGCAACCCTGCAAAGCAGTGCTGAGCGATGCATCATGGTTTACCGTGCGATGCACGTGAACTCACAGCCATCGTAGCCTTTACCCTCTCCGTGTTTGTCAGGTTGAGCCTCACATGGCCAAAGAATTTGCTTCTGCATTTTTCAAGTTGTGTATAAGACTGCCGAGGCCCTAACTTTTGGTACACCATCAGTGCTTGGTCTGGACGCAGGCCGATGAGATCCAAACTGCAACGAGTCTTTCTATGCTGCCCAGAAAGTAGACACTGTGGAATCCTGGCAGCGATGCCTTCTTGCGAATGCATTGTCCTGTGGCCAGACAAGTACACAAGTTACTTAACAAGTGCCATGAGGGTGTCCTGCAGCAGGTAGTTCAGCTCCCGCATTGTTACTAGTGACCGGTCAACAGGAGTCAAATCCTTTCAGGTCAGAACCCTCATGCCCTACATCCTGCCTGCGCAAACTCTCCAGGCCTCCAACTCAGCAGCAGAGATCATCTCTTCTCCTTCCACATTTTCGCACACGACCTGGCTCTGCTGTCCGTATAGTCATTCCCAACCAGAAAAAGCTGAGAAATGAGCCTGCACAGGCATGAAGTTGCTACCATACCTCCACACACTGCAGTGAACCTACAATCGAGCAAAAAAAGTCTGAGTGAACGACCGGAAGGAAAATTCCTCCTGCCAGCACAGGGAACTGAAAGGATCAGGGCACGAAAGACAGAAGGCCTTCATTGGCGGCACGTAGCGGAAAACGAGGGTTTGTGAAGAGCTCCTCACAGGGTGGGCAAGTTCATGCAAAGACGCATGCACTGGGTGGGCAGAAGCAGGGTTGGCCACGACGCTTTAGTTATGGGCTCACATGGATTCACTCCTGCAGTAACTGTCGAGTTGAGAGTTGAGATGATGGTTGGCATATCCGGTCAAAAAGGCTGGTAGTTTGAAAAGGTCAGGTCCATGTTTTTTGGAAACCCCTCCGTCACCCGCACGCGGCAGGTCAGGGCACCACAATATTTTGCTCAGGAGTTCTTCCGCTCAAAAACAGCATTTAGTGATGGCCACGTCCAGCCTTGTCTGAAGTATTTAATGCTGAAGAAGTTGACCTATGAAATGGCAGCTTCCTGTCGACCCTGGGCAGCCAAAACCACAACACCAGGCGACAGCAGACAAGCTTCTTG